GGGCTCCTTGATGATGAAAGCATAATTTCATTGAGGAAGTAAATCATTCAAGAACGTGTGAATATTTCTATTTTGTGATCACGATAAATTTTTTCTTACACTCGTAGGAAAAATATATTTTTCGGACCATGAAGAATGGCTCTTTTAAAATACATATTAAACATCTCGATGATTATTTTAAAATTCATGAAAAGCAACATTTAGCAAATTTGAGGAAGGTATTTTCCACCTTTCCAAAACTCACTAAAGCATTATTAACGCTATTCACCTGTATAAATTTCTTCCGTCAATCTATTGTTTCGTTTCGATACGATGGAATATATGACGTATTGTAAGCAAAGCACGTTAATGTTTATGTTACAGGTGATCCACTTTAAAAATTTTTAATTGAAATGTTTATTCAAATAGGCAAATCCAAGTTATACCAAAAATTGTTCGAAAGTTAACGAAGTGTAATTTATGATCTTTAATATTTTTCTCTTTCGATTGTGGAACAGTAACCACCAATATTCATAATAAGCATCGTTCAAAATTATATTAACTTACATTTAATTACCTTGATTATCTCCGTGATTTTGTGAACTGCAACTTATCAATAATAGAAGTTTACGTCGCTATTCAAGCATAGGTACCGTGTTTTTTAACATTTTGATAACATTCACAATATTCAATGATTTGAATTTGTTTCAGTATCACGACGATCTGGATGTAGGTTACAGCTCGACATTGGTCTGCGCGTTGATCCTTCTAGTTCTACTTGGCACCTTGCAGGCCACGGTGCTTCCTCGTACCATAATTTTACTTCTTTTGTTCCTAGTTGCATTTATATGGATATCAGTTGTGCTGATGTTACTGTTAGCTGTACGCTTGAGGTGGATATTGTGGGATATCTCCCACAGTTTCGTCCTAAGGCTAGCTATCACTGTGTTTACCATCGTTCTGGTATATACAGTAGCTCAGGTCAATGTGGTTGGTATTTCTTTAGTTGATATAAAATTATTCAATCTCACGAAGGTGCCAAAGGACCTCCGAGTATTTTTTCATAATCGACAGTTCAAACTTCAATATCTGTCAATTTGCTATAATCGACCAGTTAAACTGTGGATTACCTGTAATCGACAGTCCAAGGGTAATCAACAGTTCAACCTATTGTAAACGACAGTTTAAACTATCAAATATAACTAATCGATTCTGATTCTGTCAATTATAAAATAAAAATACTCTTTTACCCTTCAGTACCTTCGTACAAAGCCAATTCACTTCATTTTGTTTTTGTTTTTTCAGTTCACTTGCCTGTCCGATACGAATTGTGTACCCCATTCTACAGCAAACATCACGCTCGATGGCAGAGACCACAGAGCATGTCCTTTGCCTCAATACATCGTTATATCTTGTGCTCTTGGATACTTGGCTGTGGCGATATTTTTAAGACTACCTATATTACTTAAAACTTCCCTGCTCGTCATCATGTCGACTATATATATACTCCTGATAGAACTATCTCATATCGAGCTGTTTCTATGCTACGATGTAAGAGTAAGGTGAGTAACTATATTTGGATAGTTCAAATAGTTGATATCTAGAGGTATTTTTTCGAAAATGAAATTTTTTGAAATTATCTACTCTCCGTAATTTGTCTAAAGGCGCAGTACGTAAGCAAAGGCCAAGAAAACCTAGAAAACCTACTCTTCGTAATTTGTTATATGCAATATTGCTAGTGAAAAAAGCACACGATATGGGAATTTTTTCATGAAAATATTCTAAGAGTGGTGTTATCGGTAAAAAAATCTAAATTTTAATTTTAGCTCTTACGCAATATTTCAGCTGCAAGATAATTTTGATTTTTGGCACGTATTTCCAACTAATTAGTCTTTTTAGTACGGCCGTATCTAATTGCGGGTACATAGAGAAACATATTGAATTTTGTTATGTATCACGATCTTCCACAATATGAAAAAAATTGAGCGTTATTAGAAAATCTATGACTCGTACAACTATGTGTCCCGCAATTCACGAAAACAAAAATACACATATCTGCAATGGGTTTGACATTATATCCGTTTAGGGTATACCCATTTAGAGCAACTAATACACTGAAATTAACGAACCAAACATGAAATATGCGAGAAATGTTGTCTTAAGGACTTATTAGGAGTAGTTATTAAGTAAACATGCTAAAAGTCTCCGCACTTGGGAGGAGAACGTAAGGTGGGTGGGATAAGATCCTATTTTTGTATTTTTCGATTATATCTCGGAGACTGTAGAGTAGACTGTAGAAAAGCATATTTCGAACAAAAATTGAAGCCAATTATATTTTCCATAAAATGTTATACATACATATTTGTCAAATTTTCAACGGTTTCCAATATATACATCGAAAGAGGAGATATTTTTAGGAGAGATTATATTCCGGAAAATATCCATGCTTTTTCTGTAAAGATGGAAAAGTAGAACGCCAAAAGGTTTTTCCCAAATGAAATCAACCTTGATTTTAAGACAATATCAACACAAAAAAATAGAGATAGTCCAAGGTAAAATACATATATGGAATTCGAGGTGGAAACCCAAAAATTTTTAAGTGAAGATGAAGAGATCTATCAAACAGAAAAGGATGCAGCACAGTAACCCACGGTGGATAAACTACCATAGAGTACAGGTCGTCAAAACTCCAGAAAAGCGCAGAACGCCGCTGCCTGAACAACAAGAAAAAGGAGCACTGAGGTCGATGAGAAACAATCAGAACCTGCCATGCAAAAATAAATCAACAAGCTATAAGTGATATAACTGTGAGTCTCATGAATATGAAGCGCCTGATCTGATGACCACATATGAGACTAGATAAAGCAGAAAAAAGTTAATGCTCTGAATTTGAATCGAAGCTGGTCCAAAATTATAGATCGACCTGACTGGCAGCAAATCTTCAATAATAGTGCGATATTCAAGGGTTACAGGGCTCAGTAGAATTTCCAATTATTCTTACTGAAATCACAAAAACAACTCCTTGGTAATCGAGTAGGTGATAAAAGGACCCTAGAAAAGTTAGAGGTACTACTGAACAACTGTTCAAATCTGTTTAAAATCTGTTTTTCCGTTAACCAGCTGTCGCTCCCCTATGAACGACAACCCTCAGAAGTTGAAACTTGTGCGAGCTAAGGACTAACGAGGTCTTACTTTTTAAAGTGTGATTCCTAACACGGGTTGGACGATATCCAGTAAAAATCGATCTTTCAGCTTGGGGCTTGAACCAGCGACCAACACGACGGTCGATTTAAGTGAGTGAACAAAGCACCCACGTCGAACCGCCCGGCTACCGACCGTAACGTAAAGAAAAGGTAAAACTAGTGCAAACTTTTCGCCCCAAAGAAATTCGGTATAACGAACTTGTCGACTACATTAGAGTGCGGAGAATAGGTACATGACTTTACAGATAACGAGTGGACAGATAAAAAACTGGATAGATAGAAAACATACCAAGTTCAAAAGAAATGATGCAGTGTGTACCAATCTAAGAAAAACAAGAGCGTTTGTCACAAGCCTAATAGAAATTTGAAATTCCCTACTCCATGTAGAGAGAGTCTACGTAGAGAGACTTGTAATAACCCTTCCAACTGGTAGAGTCATAATCAAGTAGTCAAAGTACCGGAGACGGATTCATTTGAAGAGTGACCAATGTTACCGTGTTACCGATATGACCTCGACAATCGGTAGTTGCCTGTGAATCTTCCGGAAGCAATGATGAAGTTTTCCAAATTAGTAGGGAATGGCTAGGCGTAAACTAGTGAAATGTTCGTGTTGTCGAGTAAATTACAATATTATTCAACTTACTACCGGCACACGTCGCTACTCATTTTCTCGATAACCAATTCCGCAATAATATGGTAAGAAAGATATTGTGTTCATCCTTTTCTACACGTGTAGGCAACATTTATGTTCGTTTTTGAAACACCTGTCATGTGATTATGTTTTCAATTCTTGTTGCATGGTCACTGAATACCGCTAGTCCCGCGAAACTCAATTATTATTTTGTGAATTGTATGACTTTTTCGAAAGCTCGCTCAGTCGAAATCGCTATGAAGAAGACTAGCGGTTTTTATAAAGACGCTAACTAAAGAGTGCAACTATGTTTGAAATTGATGTTGAGATGTTGGCTGCACTCGGGAGTAAATACAGAACTATTAAACATTTTCTTACAGAATACTCTATCACAGGAACTATACCATCAGAGCTACTCCCGCGTTGGAGTTGTTTTTGCGTCTATCACAAACTATCACGAATTCTACACCGAACTTGATGGTAACAACCAAGGCGTGGAGTGTTTAAGGTTACTCAATGAAATAATCGCTGATTTTGATGATCTGCTGTCTGAAGAAAGGTTCAAAGCCATCGATAAAATTAAAACTGTTGGTTCGACTTATATGGCTGCCGTTGGATTAATGCCTGACTTGAGAATACTTGATGACGATGAAACGACGGCGGGAACGCATTTGAGCACGCTGGTAGAATTTGTATTTGCCATGAGGGATAGGCTACTGAACATCAATGAGAACTCCTACAACAACTTCATGTTGAGAGTTGGTAAGAAACTGAATATTTAAAAAAATTCATATCGCAAACACTTGTGTTAGGTACCCTTTAATAATACAACAATTTTTAATAATGGGTAGAATTGGAACTTATGTCATACCTTTCATGAATCCATCAAAAACACTTCCACACATATCTTCTCGACGCCTGCATCACCAACCGAATTGGCGTCGTTAATGGGTAATCTATTCTGTAGAGATCATCTGATGAAGCCAACTGGTTTAGGTTAGGTTAAGTTAGCATCAAAAAGAGTGTTACAATTCTGGTGTGTGAAAGAAGTATCGTTGCATATATACTTTTGCTATTGTAACGAAACGAGTGCCAAAGGAGAACTCTAACAAAGTAGAAATCTGGGACATAAAAATCATAGAAATCCAATCAAGAGAATAGCTTGAAAACTTTTTGAAGTATACACAGCTTACTGGTCATCTCTATCAGTTTTCAAAACATTCTGTTGCCAATTTGTTGAATAAATCGATCTTTGAGAAGCTATCGATCCTCAAGAGAGCCATTAATGGCTTCTTTCAAGGAACTATTTTAGAGAATCATGAAAAGCTGTAACCAAGAACACAAGAACATAGTTGAGTTAGTAAAACCTAATGAGAGACTCTATCAAATTTCTTGGAAATAACAAAATAAGAACTCGAAACTCTGAGACTCATGTTTTCTCAATTTTATTATTCAAAATATGAGTGACATATGAAAGGATGTCTTACTGATCTTCCTAATTGATGGTAGCTTGAGATGTTAAATCATTCCAAATTTGTTATTTCACTGACTTCATAGCAACGGGTGTTTATAATTTTTTTTAAACGGCCTTTTGTATATCCACAAAATCTGAAAAGTGTCACAAAAAAATATAAATGAAAAAATATCTTTAAAAATATTCACCTATAGAGACAGTAAATTAAACATAAAATGTTTCTTTAATCCAGACTGAGATAGATCATTCACTTAACTGATTGAGTATCAAGGTCATCTGTATCTGTAGGGTAGGGAGGGTGGGTGTAGGCCCACAGCACTTAGGCCACATGTGACCAATTGTACATCCTCCCAAGGAGTTTTCTTCCTAGGTCATCGTCCATCCTGTCCTTTCCAGGAAGGTGGAAAGTCACTGGAAAACATCTCCTTTATATCGGCAGGTGTAGGCCAAGACTCACCGAACACACATTCTCTTTGGCAACCTTGAGGTCTCTCACGGCGGCCTCCGCGAAGGTTTTGGAAGGTACATCGACATTACTGTCGTTGCGCGGCTTCTTCAACCTTCTTGGGGTTCCCTCCGTGGAGGTGCTCAAGTCAGGGCGCTTTCCTGCAGGGGCAGCCGGTTCCTTGTCTTATTCAAGGCGGATCTCTTGGCGCCCGCCGCAGGAAGTGCCCTTGTTATTGAAGGTGGAATGGAGAAGGGGAGGTGAGGGTGCACTTATAGTTGCTGCTACTCCTGCCTCTATTGCTCTCTGTCTTCTTTTGGCCTCGGCACAACAAATGCGCTTACGCCTTGGCCTTTGTATTACATCACGAGGTGCTTTGCTATGTCCAGCCTCATTCCGAGCGGTATATTGGGGTGGACATTTCTGTTCATGCCCAGTCACCGCCAAAGATTAAGGTGAGCACTTCTGTCCAGCCTCAGGATTGGTTTTTGTTTCTGTTGTGTCTGTTTATGTGTATTTTTCATTCATGTGTGTTCCCACGAGTAACAGGGGAAGAGTTGGTCACCTCTCGCAGAGCCCCGCATCACCAGAGGAAGGTTGATTGCAATGGGGATTCGCCTGGTTCTCCAAGGAGATCGTTCGTAACCGCATATCACCCTGCGGCCATTCAGCTGTCGACACGATTCCTTACACCTTAGCTTGGGTAGGCTGGTCCACGGTGGCATGTTTCGCAAAGGCTTTTGAGGAGTTTTAGTTCCCCTCACCCTACTTATTTCTGTCACTGACCAGGAGTCCGGCGACACCATCCGTAAGGCCACATTGGCATTCCGGACAGGGACCCCGGTCCCCAGGCCGTTTCCCTGGCCGTTCCCCTATCCACCACCTGGGGACGCACCCGATACGGAGCCCAACCCACGGAATCAAGGTCATGTTTTCTGAAGTAATAAGTAAATCTGACAGTAGGGATTACCTAACATATTATACGAAGAATGATATATTTGATTCATAATAAGTGACCAAAATCTGATTTTCAATATCCTCAAAAAATATCAAATCTATTTTGCCCATTAATAAAATTCATTATTCATCTGATATAATTCCTTCCATTTTATTTTGAAATTATATGCTGATGAAAACAAAAGTGGAATCACTGTATCTATCCATCAAATCAATCTTCTCAAATCTTCAACTCACTTTCAGATAATTTGAACCATTCTTCTACTAGAATAACTGGTTGAAATATGGAAATATCAATGCATTTCTTGAATTACTGTCATATAATATAAAATTTGATTGTTTAGAGATGTTTTATATAAAACACTCCTCTGCGGTGCAGTTGTCCAAAAGATGATTTCAGGTTTCAGGTTTTCATTTTTAATTTGGTTATTATACTTTTTTCAAGTACAAACCTAAGCAAATCAAATTTTTCATTACAGGCATAAACATAGGACCTGTCGTGGCAGGAGTGATAGGTGCGAGAAAACCTCAATATGATATTTGGGGCAATACTGTAAATGTGGCCAGCCGAATGGATTCCACTGGTTTACCAAATCACACCCAAGTAACAGAAGAAGTCTTCCAAGTACTCAGATCATATCCGTATGAGTTCCAATGTAGAGGCAAAGTGAAAGTTAAAGGAAAGGGAGATATGACGACATATTTCTTGACTGACAGGAAGCAACCAGGGACTCTTAGAGTGGAAGAATTAAATAGTTTAAGATCCAACGCCAACAACGTGAACAGTAAGAAAATATTGGTAATAACAGTATAGATAGGCGATATTATATGTATTACTGTGTGTTGTTTACCAGTAGGTAATAATAAGCTAACTCGAGTTTTTATGTTTTCCAAAAATTTTTTTTTGATTCTAGAACACTTATATGAAATGTTCAAATGAGGAAATGGGGAAAAATTATTACTTTACAGAAACCGCTATAATACCTCCTATTGATTTTTTCCATTTAAGGAAAACATCATTATGTTTTTTCATCACTTTATTTGTGTCAGGTTGCTTTATTTCTTGTAAGTTCTATGATTTTTATAACTTCTAACTTATGAGGTTTTCTCATGAACTCGTTTTCATTAGGATGTTCCACTCTGCCTTGCACTGTAGACAAAAAAATTGTATTTTCCATTCACATATTTTGATGGCACATTGTCAAGTTTGCTTCGTACTTGAATTGAAGATGCCATCTTCACATGTTTTGATGACATATTGTCAAGTTTGCTGCGTACTTGAATTGAGGATGCCATCTTCACATGTTTTGATGACATATTGTCAAGTTTGCTGCGTACTTGAATTGAAGATGCCATCTATCGACAAAAGATCAATCAACAATTACATATCAACGAGACTCCCAAAAGTGGTCTGTTGCAAAGCCAAACTTCAACATCGACACCCGAATGAGATTCGTTCTCTGTCTTCCTCTGCAGCTTCTACTGCAAAAAAATCAACTGAAACCAGAACCTAAGTTACATAATTTTTCCAGCTCTGTTTCACATAGATCTGGTAACCAGGCCAATAGGTAAATGGCTATATTTGGTCTCTTCCAATAATTTACCATTGAAATAACTTCATTTCCACTCCTAAAATGACATCAGAGGTTATCAAGTGTTGGGTAATCTGATTCGTAGTTAGGGTTAGGTTAGGTCCAAAGTGAGTGGGTCTATTCAACCCTCCACCGCAGCCCGCAAGGGTTTATTGTGGCTCAGACCTACTAACACTCGACCAAATCAACCCAGCTTCTTAACGAAATCGATTAGTTTGTGTCGTGAGTGGTCTTTCAGGTCACATAGTATGAGTACGGCTCTGCCGAACTCTAAAAACCTGATTCGGTCCCCAGCGGGGCAGGTACAAAGTATGTGCTCTGCTGTTTCATCATTTTCCAAAAAGAGGAGACGCACACTGTCTTCCGACAGTCCGAGTCTCTGCATATGATAATTCAAATGTCAGTGACCTGTAAGAAGGCCTGTTAGACATCGTAGTTCAGCCCTACTGTAGTCCAACAACTGTTTGGTATCAAGCTTCGAAGAGTGAATAAACGCCTTGGAGTGAGCCAATCCAGGAAGATTATGCCAGAAGTCTTTGAATCTTTTTGCCATTCAGGTGTTCAACCTTTTGTGGCAGTGGCAAAGTCTAAAGCGATGTCAATGACAGGTTCTGGTCTGATGAAGTTGCTTGCAGCACCCTCTTTTGCAAGGGAGTCAGCAGCCTCATTGCCTTCCCGTCCATTATGGCCAGAAATACAGACCAGAGACAATCTGTTAAGTCTTTTTATCGATTAGAGTCTTTTTTGGCAATTTGTTACCAATTTAGATGTTGCTCGGTAGGAGCCAAAAGCTTCCAATGCCGCTTGACTGTTCGAGAATATTTTTATTGACTAGTGAGGTTGGATTCTTCCAATCTCTCCGCATACAATTCAACAGCGTAAATTCCCGCTTGAAATACAGTCACATAGTGATTCGTAGTAGTAATAGTAGTATTTATCAATTTCAAGATGTAATAAAAATACATAAATTCATGAGTCAAAAGCTAATTGCTCTTACTTCACAGAACATTCTACATAATTTCTGTTCTAGACTTAAGAAAAATTTTGCTTGGCAATTAACTATGTTTGCTAAATAACTATGATGGTTCTCACTGTAAACACTTCCACAAATTGAATGACTGTGAAACTGATTTCATCAATAACAAGGTAAAAACAGAACAAAATCATCTAATCTGATACAAATCATTCACTTATGTTGTTTCCTCAGCGTCCAACTGGAATCAGTAGAATGATCAGAACTAGTTATACGAAACAAATATCTATAATAATATTGACAGTATAAACAATTTTGACAAGCATTTCAACAAATTATCTTTAAATTCGAGTTCCCTCACTACTCACTCCATTTAAAAAGTTGCTACTGGAATAGGAATCAAAAAGCATCATAAGAAAGGCGAAAATGGTCATTCCAGAATCGGAATCATAGAAAAAAGCAGTTTTTGAGTTAATAATTCTCTTCAAGTTGCTAATTCTTTTTTTGTTCTGCAAACCTGTGGTTACCCTTTGTAATTGATGGAATTTATTGTATGCTAATTCTATATCTTGCCTAACACAGGCTTTCACCACTATTTTTGAATTATTCACAGGGTGTCCCAATTGAAAGTACACACTCGAATATACGCTTTCTCTGAAGTCACAGCATAAAATTATCGACCACGTTAACTTTTTATTTGACAAAGACAGATATTTTGAGTATATTTTCATTCTTGCACTTCAACGGCAGATGTGCTTTTTCAAAAGAGTAAAGTTGTTTTTCAAGTTCATTTAATCTTTCAACGGTCCATTCGGATATAGAAAACGTCACAATACAAAGAATTAGTCTGAAGATAAAATTGTTGATGATGGAAATATTTTGTATTCACATAATTGAAATACAAACATTAGAAGTCTTAAAAATCAAAATGTTGAGAATTCAGATACCTCATAAAATAAATGACAGAGATTCTTTTTCATGAAGTTTTGAAAGGAATTTGGAATATGTGTGATCATTCCTAATAATATATAGGTAATTTGTTCATTATAGACTCTTGTAGGGATTGACAACGGTCCATTACGGACATTATTTGAAGATGACTTGAATAGATGAAATAGTTATGTTCATTTATAAATTTATATATTCATATAGTTTCAGAAAAGACTTGAATAATTGTTAATATAAATTAAATACATAGGTAACAAGGTAGATATATAGTAAGTAAACAAGAACACTACATAAACAATATAAATGAGTTCATGAACATGTAAGTCAGAACTCACTTTTTGTATAACAATTTTTGTCTATTAGAAATTACTTCAAATGTTTTTTGATATATACAGACTCTCGTTCATTTTAATAGCATTGGCTATGATATAAAACATACATCCCATATAAAAAAAACTTTTTTGTTACAAAGAAGTGTAATGCTTAGCTGGCAAGAGGTGATTTTATTTCTTGTATTAAATGATTGGGGAGGTCCCAATTTGTTGAACATATTTGAATTTTCAAAAAATGACATGCCTTCTCATATACACACCCAGATGTCAGGGTCAGATTTTTGAAGGATTTGAAAATATCTCTAACTGTTCTTTTTTGTAATTTAAAAATTTTCTCAACATCTAAGAAATGATATAATTCCAGTGCATTATAGCACATATTTTATACACGAATGAAAGCAGGCAAAGTAAAGTTGACGACTATACTCGAGCAAAGTGTTTTAGGAAAAGAAAGTTTTTGAGTGTCTACTTCTGAATCTTTATACAAAAAATGTGGGAATCTTCCAAAGAATGGAAGAAAGCAACTCATTTCAAAATAAACTTTTTTCAGATATGTGTAGATCATGCACAAACTGAAAGAAAAAGCCTCCCGAAGCTGCTACTTTCATATAAACGTTGAATCACACGAATGAAAAAAATATTATTTCAACAACTACTATTATATTATGAACACTGAATTATATTATGAACACTGAATTATATAAAAACGCTTTTTTCTATTCAGTTTGAATTCTGAACTAGAACTGAATCAGATATCATTCACAGGATTGCTACATAATATAGTATATGAAAGGGGTAAAATTTCACTTACATAGAGTTTTGATGAGTCCTCTCTTAGTCGATTGATGGTGGTTGGATTTCTGGTTCAGGTACTGTCCTGTGTGAGTGGGTTTTCGATATACAGATGTTTTCCATTTAGTGTGTATATATCTGTAATTTCAGTTTTTTGTTCAATAAAAATTGTTACTTTCGGTTAATCTTTTTAATTTTTTTCAGGGATTTCAAATCAATTTATATTATATAAGGCAATGAAAGTCCGAACTGATGAAATATTCATTCACTTATTTGATTTTGATATGACTGCTAAAGCAAAACACGTTTTAGCTAGTTTAATACACACTTCATGAATGTGATCTGACTATTTGAGGCGATTATCTATTCTCAAACCAGGCTTTTTAGTTTCTGTGGTATAGATAACAGTAACTTCATCATGTAATCTCTATGAGCCTTAACTGATATAGAATCATCTATTATGAAATTCAAGTGTTTGAATTCAGTTACCTATTAAGTCTTGTCATACTTGATGTGATTGCTTTAATTTGTTTATTACCGAGAATTATTGGTGTAACTCGAACCCAGTTACACCTCTCGAAGCGAAGCAGTAACTCGTCTTGATAATGCCATCTGAGATGATGGCGAAACGTCGACTATCGAATAGTACACAACGGATGAACACCCGGAAAAACAACATATTTTAGTTCTCTAAGATGTATTACGGAGATATGTTTTGAATCAATTCGGTAAGCTCAACGCCATAACATTTCAATTTATGAAGCAGAATATATCTGGTAATCACCCCAAATTTTCTTCTAATGTCGTGAATCACTGCCACTACATATTTTTTCCCATAAAGTACATTCTTTCATTTTGATTGACAGCCAGTTCCACACGAATTATGTTTTCTGAAACTAGATTGATTATCCATCAACAGATCATTCATATTGAAGTACTCAATTATTTGTTCATGTACTATCATTTTTAAAACTTCCTCTATAGTTTATAGAGTGTTTATAACCCTGCAGTCGATTACATTATAAATTTCAGAAATTGGCATTATAGTACAGAGTTTCAATCGGTTGGGAAAGTTGCCATTTGAGCGTGAAGTATTTATGAAGTTCATTAAGACAGATTTACTTATATTAAACGTTTCTTTCGAAAACTTGAAACCAATTACTTCGTCAATACTGCCAACTTTCTAGGGGTTACATTTTCAAATTCAGAAAAATTGGTTTCTACTGGCTTAAGATTTTCGTAAGACAACTCGTAGTTTGCACAATGATTTAAAAAAAAACTTTTTAGCAGCCTTCAGCTTATTTTTTACTCTGGATGTTGCTTCTTACTCATTAATAATTTTCTAAGAATCTGTGATAATTTTTATTCCAATCAGTTTAATTTACAAAATATTACAATTTTTTTATTTTTATAAAATTGACAACCTCATTTAGAATATTACTGAAGTTTTTTCCCAACACCAAATCGTTATTTTTAACACCTCAACNTTTTCTCTAGTAATTCCCTGAGGTATAGCAAGGTCTGTGGAATTGGAACGCTAGGAAATAAGGAACTAACATCAAAAGAAACCAAAATCTCACCTTCTTGCAGAACCACGTTTTTTGAATGTTGTATGAACTTTAAAGAGTTTTTTATACTAAAACTTGGTTCCGCAATAGACAAGGTTTCAAATTCCTTAGTGAGCCACTTTGCTATTTGGTAGGTAGGAGCTCCAATAGCTGACACGATGGGGCGCATTGATTTTCTCGTTTGTGGATTTTTGGGAGGCAATATAGTTTCTAATCTTTCTCTTTGAAAATGATCACTTAGTGATCGAAACACGTGTCGAGGTGTTGAAAATAACGATTTGGTGTTGGGAAAAAACTCCAGTAATATTCATTACTACACCAAAGGTTACAAACAGTGTATCTTAACCTCATTTAGTTTTTATTTGTATCCATTCCACAACTTCTCTTTATTGGCACTGAGAAAGTTTTTCTGAAGTTTTTATACAAACTGTCTGTTCGCTCAGAAACTGATTTACTTTCATCATCGTATCGAAGAATTGGTTAAGTTTATTTTTAATTTTGATAATGGGTGCTATATCATTCAAAACTGGTCACTTTGATTTAATTTAATATCATTTCATGTACTCGTACGTGTAAGTAAATTTCATCGACATCAGTGATGCTATTCAGCTATTCACATTCAATCAGCATCAGCAAAAGGTGTGTATATTGCGTCACTAATCAGTGTACTGACAGAAATTATTGAGTGATCATTAGTGTTATGCTCTTGGTCAATACAAACGTCAAATCAATCAGCAATTAGAAGTGATTCTTGTTGATTCACCAATAAGTTGTTCAATGCTGTAAATCATTATTATATTTTTTTATTATGATTAGTATCACTGAGATAATCTATAATCATATCAGCATTTAAAATACATTTTTACTTCCCTTTCATCAAATAAGTGATACCTTCTCTTAAAAATATAAGTACTTCTATAATGTCTCCTGCTAGAATCACATCTAATGATAGAATACTCCGAAATTACAGTTCCTCTATCAAGAACATTATTATCGCTGAGTATTTACTAATATTTGTGTCATCGAGGTTATTCGAGAGGGTATCGATCAATCTTTGTCTTCTATGAAAGATTAGATATGATCTGTGATGACCAGAAAGGATGAGTCATCTGTATAAAGTGTACTAATGATATTTCTACATACTGTTCTTTGCCAAAAAGATATAATTTGAACCTTTTACCTGTTCTTCCTCATATTTGACACAACCATAGCAACAAATCAAATTTTCAGCTTCAATCGTAGAATTTACCCAGAAGAGATCTCATTTTGTTTTTTCTACATTTTTGCCATCAGTGAGAACAATTTAATTTCTGATAGAATCGGAAGTTTTGCTTATACAGGAATCTAATTATATCAGTATCAAATTATTTTATGAATAATTCTCTACTGACGGGGAACATTTATTTCCCTATAACATATAAAATGAATTGAACCTCAAAATCAGTTGTACTACTTCTTCAGCGTTTAGATAGTAAAATATCATGTTTAACCTTTGATACGAAATTTGTTCTAAAAATAACTGTTCGTATGATTTTTACCATATTTTTGTACTAACTTCAAAATGGTGTATTTTTGTTCCTCCCAGAGAAGCATTCTGTTAGGTTGTACTTTTTCTTTAGGACATCCTGTATATTCAAAATAATCTAATTAAATTCCAGTATTACAAATAGTCTTATTTTTGCTAAGCCTGTCAAGTGACTTCTTCAATAAAGAAAAAGTAAAGATGTATATCAGATTAAAAATATATTAATTTGATCTGCTATGGCTTTTCCTGATGAAACAGGTAGAGACGACAGCTAGAAATTATAACTTTTTCAAGCGAATAATTGTTTTTTACCCATTTTGTTGGGCGTGGTCGGCAATTTTTTATGCTTGAAGTTTCGTCTCTAACAGTGGTAGACGTCAAAGGTGATGAGGCAGACGAAGTGCTCTACTTGTCCTCACAGCTCATAGATTGATAGTCCAACAAATAAATCGATTTAATCACTTTCACAGATATAAACAATATGTATGGTGGTGTGGCCACTCCCCTCGCCCTCCTTCATCATGGTGATATCAACAATGGCCGTCAGAAACATAACCCGCTACAAAATCGCCCGCCGGTTCGGGAAGAATCTTATACGACTTCCCGAAACGCTGTACGTCTTCCTCCTCTTCGAGAAACCGCTTCACATATAAATGGTTGTGAAAACGAACCACTTCTACCAAATATTCGGAATGGCAAGAAAAAATGTTTGCCGGCTGAAGAAACGTTACCTCCCCCTCCTTTACCACCCCATAAAAACAATTGTCAAAGGCAAGGAACTCCAGAAATGAAATACAACCCGCCTTGGCCAAGAGGACAAGTTGATAGTGTCAAACCATACCTTAAACCTTTACCAAAACCTCCAGGAAAAGAATCGCCCAATCGACAACACAGGTAAACAATTTTAATATTATCGCACTTCCCATAAATTTCATCTTATTTTCTGATAAATATTTTTTAATAGAAAACATCAACCAGCACCAGTACCTCCTCCTCATCAAAATCAACGTGCGCCGGACCAAACAGCGGAGCTTCTGCGCAACATAATCCAGACGAGACACAATCCCTTACTTCAGAGTAGACAAAGCCCACATCATCATAGACATAGTCCTCTCCAGCGACATTTTTCTGATGAAAGCTTAGGGGGACTCTATAATACCGGATTACCGCAAAGAATTCATTCATCGGCAGATGAAATCAGTTCCTTGAATCATTCGCCTAGTATCAGTAGTTCTGATGAGAGCTATAGCAGAACAACCGACGCTGACGCCAGCCCTTGCGTATCGCCTCCCTTACCTACTGATACCCAGCAATTTCTGTTTCCTTCGGATATACAAGTCAACCCATTATCTTCTCCAGAAGTATCACCCCGAGCCTCTTTAGATTATATTCCACCAAACTGTTCTTTGCGCAACAATGTTGAGCCGAAAAGAAATAATTTAGCACCAAATGCGTTACTCGCTTTAGCTGGTACTTGTAACACTGTCGATTCTTCTGTAGTAACGAGTCCTCCTATTTTAGATGGTGAAGACAGTTGTCGAGGGGAAAGTTGCGCAAGTTTCGAATTTGTCACGAAACCTACATCCCTCTTACGAACTACTAGCGCTAACGGTGCAAAATGTGCCAAAGCTTCTAAAAAAATTCTCAATTTGGACAAACATCGGATACGAAACGATAGTGATTCGATTCTAGAGTGTAACAAATTATCCTCAAACTGTAAGAGGTCACCTAGTTTCAAAGAGGCCGATGAAATCAGGCAGTTGTTGAAGGAGGAAGATAATAAGACTACAATCAGCAGTGAAAAAAGTTCCAGAAAGGATGGTTGTTGCCAAACTGACAAAAAAGACTTGAGGCAAATGCGACTGAGTCCAATCGGCATTCGAGAAAAACTCTCACCGAATAATAAGATCAGCAATATTCCTTTCGAACGAGAAATACAGATGCTACTGGACGAACAGAATTTGCTGCAGAACATCCCCCCAAAGTTGGAACTCAAAGACCTTGCACTGGAGCCACTCGTAAGGTACGCACCAAATAACAACAACCACCAGGTGGGGCTGGCGGCAATTCAAGCGCTTGCTCTCGGTTTTCGGGGCAACAATGTTAACAACCTGCAGTGCATGTCCCCTTCCCCTCGAGCAAGCAGCAAAGAAGGATCGCTTAAGAGGGGGCCTTCTCCAGGACCAGGCGAATCCGTTAAATTGGCCAAAGTGTCACCTCTTGACAGGTATTCAGGTTTCATAAGGGATGGTTACTAACCGGCTATGTGTATCATTTGATTAGTTGCATATGAAGTTTTGATATGGTGTTTAGAAGGTAGATGCATGGTTAGAACTAAAAATTAAATCAACTTATAAAACAACACACAACAAACAGATTTTAAACAGACAGAACTATTTGAATGAAAATAGTGTTTTACTTTTGAAAGGTTTTCAACCTCCCACAATCTAAAAATATTTAATGTTTAGACAGGGATGACCACAGAGAGTCAATAATGAAATCGTTATTTATATAAGTAAATTTAATTACATGTATTATTTGGAAAAAAGCCTTTTGGCTGACTAATTCTCCATCGTTAAAGAAAAAAATGTGGGACAAAAACTTTTTTAAAAATTTCTTTTTCAGTTTGAATGTTATATATTTGCCAAAAAAATCATAATATAAATTGATCTGTGGTATGAATGTTGACTATTCGGACACTAAACTTTTTTTTTTAATCTCACAAACTGATATACTAGCTATAACTCTCCTGAAGAAATGTATATATGAATTTCAATTGAAAGGATCTAAAAGACATTTAAAATGATCATACATAACGTATTCGTTTTATGTGCCGGGAGGGTAGACTTGGAATGAATTATGATTATTCCGTCCTATTTTTAATAGTATCGGGTGAAGTATAGAAGTATATAGATGCACTCTCCTGAAAATAATCCTGTCAGCGCCAATGGCAACTATTGCATTTCACGATTTATACTGTTTTTAAAGTAATTAGTCAAAAATTTCAGAGAATCACCCATCCAATATGAATGAAAATTTTGAACTAACAAATTTGAAGTATTTTTAGTAATGTCTATGAAACACCTCAAACAACACTTTTTTGAGTTCGCCTACTTTGGAATTTAATTCACTTGTCAAACCTCAATACACTTGTGAATTTCATTAGTTTGGACTTCCATTGTATAATATGATATGTAATGATTTGAAATTCCTGAAAGAATCAATAAAATTAAAATGAATGGCTGAAAATAACAATTATATTTAGCAAAAAAAACCCCGAAATGAAATTACAATAAAATAAAATACAAGCTACAATTGAAAATTGAACATTAGAAAAGCAATGACCGTTTTCCGCTCAATTATGGGTTTCCATATGTTGCGTATCTCTACGCTAGCTTGGCTGAATGCTTTGTTGAACAGCATATATGCAGCTCTTTGAATTTCCTCCTAAACCAGTGTTCCTCCCAAAGCAGTGTTCCTCCATGTGGATGATATCAGCTTGGGACCACTAGATGTTATGTTGATGAGTCCAAACATGCTCTACTATTCCCAATTTGCTGGTTTCTCATCGCTGTGTGTGTTTCTTCTGCCCGGTAATGCGGACTTTCAATGGCCTCTTAGTTTCACCGAATTCACGATGTGAGCTTTCGGTTAGACTTGTACAGAAAGCCCCAAGGGCGATTCTGATAGTATTATTATGGTTAGAGTCCAGTTGTTTCAGAACAGCTCAGCGGGACTCCGTTTTCCTGAAGTCAGTTCATTCGCACGAACTCGAAAAAGTACGATATCTCAAAATATTTCCATGAAATAACCACTTGCGGAGTGTGTTAACAATTGTGTGTTTCTGCACTGTATTCTATGCTTTGGATCCAAAACCTCCAGGAAAAGAATCGCCCAATCGACAACACAGGTAAACAATTTCTATATTATCGCACTTCCCATAAATTTCATCTTATTTTCTGATAAATATTTTTTAATAGAAAACATCAACCAGCACCAGTACCTCCTCCTCATCAAAAATGTCTTCTGGATCAGAAGAGTTTTTAATCTCATTAAGGTCGTCTAAAAATTCTTTTATTATGGGATAATTAATGGATACTCTGGATAGTTTTCATCATCATCAGGTTGCGTCGTTTGCCTGCAAGATTATATTTTTGATTCAGAAAACCGATTTTAGGGTTTTTTCAGTAGAATGGTATTGGAAGGTTGGAGTAAGTGTTTTAGCTAAATCTTGTGATGAGGTTCAGTTGCTTTCTTCATGTCTGATATAGCTGATACTTTTAGGATCCGGCTTGCCAGGAATTCTCTTGATCATTTTTCAGACTCTCTCAACTGGGGTACTTTTATTAAGTTCTGATACAAATTATTTCCAAATGTGCCTTCTATTTTTTTCATAAGATATTTTGACTGGCCCTTGAGCGTTCAAATCTGGTGCTCCAAAGTTTTATATTTTCTGAATGTGTAAAATGATTTTTTTACTCTTTTACAGCTTCTAGACATTCCTAATTCCACCAAGAGCAGTATATTTGTTAGAGGTGTAAGTTTTGCCAATAGATTTGTCAGCACCTTGTCTTAATTTGTGAAAACCTACTAATAGTTTCATTTATGTCAGCCAGTTTGCTACTGGCTTAGAAATGCCGTGGGGGTGGAGTAGTGATCTCAGATATTGCCCTTAGATATATTGATCTTCATCGAATGACTTGACACTGAAGTGTCCACTGTAGGTGATAAGGTTTTGTCGACGATTTCAGGAAGAGATAGAAAATTGGGTTCTTGTGGTTCATTTCTGATTAATGAAGGGACTTCTGCTGTGTTTTCCATGTTTGAGATCAGCTCGTCGTTGGATATTGCTAAGTAATTCTCAGCTAAATGACCCTCTAGTTCACATTTGAAACACAACTGGTCCCGTCGAATGATACAACAATAGATTGGGGTATAGTGGAGTGGTCAATGGGAGTTATATAAGTTTGCCAGCAGAAACTAAAGACATGTTTTGAATTGGATGCTTCAGTTCGATTATAGGATAATGGTGAAACCAAATTCAAACCCACGTTGAATAGTTCCGTTTCTGGGATATCATGGGGGATCCTAGTAGATACATTTGATATACGAGTAGTTAATTTTTCGTTGGGTGTTATGAGTCTTCTTGTCAATAGAATTTTTCTGTTAACTATAATTTCTCCATCTACTTTGTTGAAGGAGTCACTCATTCCACTGTTGAAGAACAAAATTATAGATAGCTGATAAGTACGTCAGAACCGGACTCGTGCCCACTCATTATTCATAAATAAGGAAATATTTGTGAAGGAATTTTTCATAGTCCAGTCATCACCATATCTCCTCATATTTACTTCAAACATTGTTGTTCTATGTGTAATACACATTTTGAATGTTTCGGAGTAAACTATCAATCTGTTCTTACTAATCAAAACTATTTTTTCTCATATTCAACACAGATAAAATTTCAAAACACTGCTCAAGAAAAAACTAACGTTAATTGTATTTTCCGAAATGCCTAAGCCATAAAAATAATGAGTTACAGCATAAAATCAAAAATAACTTTCATGCAGTACAGTAAGTATACTTCAAAAAAAACATAGGCTAGTACTTTACAGTGTGTAAGACCGTCACATTGGGAAATATTGAAATTCATCAAATTTCTTCCAGCGTGAAGTTGCTTTCGGGCAAACGTTTCATTAAAACTAGTTAATACCGTTTAATACAGGGGCGGCTTCAAATTCGTTACAGTATGATTTTTACTCATATAATAAACTGTATTAATATTTTTGGGAAAGAAAGTTTTTGGCTTTCTACTACTCCATCTGATACAAAAAAAGGGATGAGAGAATCTTCCAAAGAAAGGAAGGAAGTAATCAAGTTAAAAAGAAGTAACTCTATACATGGATGTGTAGATCATGCAAAGAAGTAACTTTCAGACACAAACTGAAAGAAAGTCCTCCTGAAACAGCTACTTTCATATAAACATTGAATTACACGAAAGAAAAAAAATTCTTTCGAAACAAATACTTCTATATGAACACTGAATTATACATTAGATACTTTTCTCTATTCAGTTTGTATTTCAAACATTCGTTGTGGAATAAGAATCAGATATCATTCACATGAGTATTAATATGTATTTTCATCAAGTATCGGCCAGTTCTATTCAAATAATGTTTCGTTGCTGTGTCGGCTGTTCCGGTTTCAAGGGTGGGAATAATAGGGTCAAAATTCTCCGAAGATAGAATAGCTCCCCAATCAGATCTCCGGGTGGAGGCTAATTCAAGGGCATCACCCTTCAGAAGTTATTTGAAAACCACTATTTCTGACAGGCTGCAGAGACCTTCTAACACCAGTCTACAGGGAAATAGCATGGTATCTGCAGTTGCTAAGAGGCCCACTAGCAACTTCAAAATCGATTTCTGCAACATCACGGAAGTTATTCTATCATCCATGGATACATATACTCCCTTTTCAATGAAATGAAGTTGAAACGGCAAACCTTGGTTCAACAAAGATTGCGAGCAAAAATCTCGCCTACCGGCAGTGGCGCAAAAATCCCAGTACCGAAAAACCGAACTAGGTTTTTTAATGCTCGCAACAGCTGTAAAGTTAGAATAAATGAAAGCAAAGAACTTCACAATCAGAGAATTAGGGATAAACTGCTTGCCAATCCCAAAGGGTCTAGATCCTCCTGGTCAGTAGCTTAAGCTGTTATTCAAAACTTTACAAAATCCACAGTTCCACCACTAACACAAGCGGATGGTTAAATTGCAACAACAGCCATAGAAAAAAGCAAATCTACTAGCTGAACAAATTGCGTTTCACTTCACATTTGATTTTCTGGAAAGGCATCACCCACTATTCCCACACTAGAATCCACAATTCCGAAAATTACTTTTCAACAACGTCTAATCAGGCGAATTTTGAAACAGCTCAATATCAACAAGGCGTCTGGTCCTGATGAAATGCCCATCATTGTAATCAAAAAATATGCCAATGAACTCACACCAGTATTTTGCAGATTTTTTACCTGTCTTACAAAAAAGGGGTTTTTAATTTTTGTTGGAAGATTTCCCGCGTTCAGCCTATTCCCAAAATAGGCAAGAAAAATCTTCCAAATAACTAAAGACCAATCGCTTTGCTATCAGTGATATTTGGAAGGCTGTAACATCTTGAGTGATCAACAATATGGCATTCAGAACCAAAGATCAATAGCTTTGCTAACGACAGAACACTTATCTCGACATTCCATTTGGATTCCAGGACATCGACTGTGGATAAACATCTTCACTGACAGCAGTAGGTTGCATATCTTAATGATGATCTAGAGGTGATTTTGAATTGGAGGGAAAGTAACCAGGTTCAATTCAATGCCACGAAAACCCAGGCATTGATTTTCTCCAAAGATAAATGTCGCCCAACCGGATATAATAATGTCAGGACAGACAATTCCGCTTTCTGCTTCGATAAGTTTCTTGGGCATTTAAAATGAACACCAATATGTCTTAGCACAATCATGTCGCTGGAATGCAAAGGCTGCTTCTCAAAAGCTTGGAACATCGTTCCGAACCAGAAAAATGTACACACCTCAGCAACTTTTGATGCTTTACAAAGCTCAGATCAAACCATCTTTGGAGTATTATTCTCATATATGGAGCTCCGTCCCTAAGCATACCCTAAAGCTGCTGGATTCCATCCAAGAACCATCCGCCTGATTGGAGACGCGAACATCACTTGCAATCTTGATGGTCTGGAATATCGAAGAAAGGTTGGAGATTTGTCTCTCTTCTATAGATACTTTCACGGGAAGTGTTCAAGTGACTTGACACATATGATTCCACCAAGAGCGGTACATATCTGAAATACGCGACAGACTGGCTGCTCATCGTTTCGAGGTTCAATTAAGTACACCACGAACTTCATATTTAAGAACTCTTTCATTCAAAGAACTGCGTTTATGAGGATTGAACTTCCTGGGAATGTTTTTCCAAAAAGATTTGATCTCCAGCGATTCAAAACCAATGTGAATTGCTACTTTCGCACAGACACCGCTCCTAGAGCTACTTGAGGATTTTCCTGTAGTGCTTGTCTAAGATATCGAATGAGAAATTAATTTAAGTTGTGACTAAATATCATTACTGTCAATAACTAATTAGTATACATGAAAGAAATGATGGAAGAGTTTGAACGAAATGATAAATATAAAATCAATTAAAGTAATGTTCTTCCACTGCGTTTTTGAAATTGTTTTTAGAATATTTCTGAAGTACTTTTTATGCAACTAAATCATAGAATATCAAAACGCTTCACTAACACATTGATCCATGCTGCTTGCTCAGCACTTTTCACGCTTATACAAGTTCATGTCACACTGTGTCTGCAAAAATATTCGGAAATTCGTCAATGAATTGGAATTTGAAAAAAATGTTTCAGGTGCCCTAGAAATTCGGAAGAAGACGTTGACTGTGATATGGTAGAAGTTCAAGGCCACGACGATGATACTGACCTTGAAAGTTTTGAAAGAGAAGAACAAAGAATGGAAGAAGAAGCGGCCCAAGTGAGTATGAAGAAAGTGTTTTGAACCAAATTCAACTTTACATTGTCGTTGAAGATTTTTGTAAATAGTTAAGTTCACTTCAAGGTTTTAAAAGAAATATCTCTGATACAAGGTAATGAACTTCAATTCTGCTCACTTCAATAGATTCAAAGGGCGATTCAATGACATCAACTTATGAATGTGGTATTTCATATTTTATCAAGTTATGAATAATTTTTATTTTTCCTGTTTTTTCTTAAAAAAGGGTTTGAAATATTCAAGTTTTCTAGAAATATTTTTCCAAAATATAACTCTCAAATAGATTCAAATCACACTTTATTCAAAAATAAACAGTAATACACAAAAAAACTGATAGCACCAGCGTATCAAGTCATAAAAAATCATCAACTGAGAAGTTCCACTTCATTAGCTTTGGTACATTCTGTAAAAGTGTTTGAATCATTTAAATATAGATAATATTGAATACATTATTGGGAGAAAATTAGAATCTATCAAAATATGCCATTTACTCAAAATAAAAAACATATAGGGGGTGGCACGTTATTGTTTATCAGTGTCCATATACGAATTAGCTTTACTATTCGTAATTTTTCCTGATATCACTTCCATAATATCAATAGACTCCATCTTTTTTATTAACTCATCTGAATATATTAGTTCAATATTTGTTTATTTAATTAATTTCTTATAGATTTGAAATATTTTCATTCATTTTTAAATAATAAAAGAACCATAAATAATGCTTCCAGCTTACAAATTAGCACACAATATACAGGGTGTTCCTTAAACACATGCTAATATTTAAGGAAGTAATTCTTAGACCCATTTCAAGGAAAAAACGTCCTATGGACATATGTCCTAAACGCCTTAACTTTTGAGATACAGGGTGGCAAAGTTTTCAAAAATAATCAGTTTTTCAATAATAACTGAGATAATTTTGTAGACATCTTTGGCATATTTGATACATATGTTTCATGCCTCAAGGCGCATTTTCTGATGTACAATTTTCTTAATTTTCTCTGCCAGTGGCGTACGAACGAGTTTTGAAATGTATATTTTTGGCGAAAAAAATACTACGCCACTGCTTTATCTTGAATTAAAAATTATTTTTAAAAT